GATTCCAACTGTGGTATCCAATTTCAGAAAACATTTGGTGTTCATATCTAGCCATGATCATATGACCAGTGGCAAGAAAATCGTCCCAAGTGGGGCAAAACACTTCAAAATCACAGCGAAAGCTCCCAAACGATAGGTAAGTTCGTAAACATGACTACAAGGTTGTGCCCCAGTTTGTTAGCTACCGTGGTTTATAACTCCAATAACTTGGGTTTATGGTAGATATATCTATAGTCTATAGTTAATGGATGTTAATGGCAGTTATAAACCAACAAAATAATTGACGTGGGAGGCAGCAACACCTTGTAGGCTGAAGGATGGATGGGTCCAAACCCTGTACCCCTTCTCACATCAACATAGCTCGTAAATGAACTAAATGGATGTCCATGCAGCTTGCGACCCTGAGGCAATCCAATGTGGCCAACGCGCAGCTAAAAACCAAGAACACCTATGGGGATGAGGAACGCATGCCACAGCAGCGCCACTACTACCAGAAGGATTTCATGACTCTCAATCACCTTACGGATATCAAGACAATGTTCAACCTCCGGTTGATATAAATATTCTACGATTAAAAACTCCTACGGTTGAAGCCTCATGTTGGCCCCAGGATCAAAATGGACGAAATAGCACGTCTTGGCACAAAAAAAAGAGCTGCGGCTCTATTTGTTATGTACCTGCAAATAGAGCTGGCTCCATTTCTGGCTTGATATTTGCAGTGTTACCAGCAGTGTTTCCATTGTTTCCACATTTCCAAATTGCAGAGATCAATTTTGGAGTCGCAAAGAGGTCCTCGCGGGTGGGCCATCTGCGCCCGTTTTTTAGACCTCGTCAAAAACGAGCAAATCCTCCATTTTTCAATTTTTTGGGATGTTAGATACATAGTTATGTTGGTCAAAAACCTGGGTTTTAAAAAACCATCCAAATAGACGATATTCACCGGAATTAATTTTCATGATTGATGCTTCAAAAATGAGTGTTGAATATCTTCTATTTGATCGGTTCGGTTTGTACGCCAATATCTTCTACTTGATCGGTTTTTTCCAACCCGGTTTGTCACCAACATCACCTACCGAAAAACACCAAACTCGAGGTTTTTTCCCCACCTGCCAGGTGAGGGTTGTTAGATTTTATCAGAGCTGTTCTCCTCCTCCTCCGCCTCCTTATCCTCCTCCTCCTCGTCCTCCTCCTCCTCCTCGCAGTCCAGATCCCAGTGGGCACTGCCGGACCTCAACCGCGAGTTGCAGATCGCAGTGGGCACTGCCGGACCTCAACCGCGACTTCCAGATCGCAGTGGGCACTGCCGGACCTCAACGGGAAGAATGTCAGAAAAGATGTCAGATAGAATGTCAGAAGATATGCCAGATAGAATGCCAATGAATGTCAGAAAGAATGTCAGAAGATATGCCAGACAGAATGTCAGAAGATATGCCAGATAGAATGTCAGAAGATATGTCAGATAGAATGTCAGAAGATATGCCAGATAGAATGCCAGAAAAAATGTCAGAAGATATGCCTGATAGAATGTCAGATAGAATGCCAGAAGATATGCCAGATAGAATGCCAGAAGATTTGCCAGATAGAATGCCAGAAGATATGCCAGATAGAATGCCAGAAGATATGTCAGATAGAATGCCAGAAGATTTGCCAGTAAGAAAATGTATAAATGTCATGGTGGGGATCATTCGAAGTGAAGTAATTTGCGTTTTTTTTCAGAGAAGGTCCAAAAAAGGGCCCGTCGCAGATGGTCCTATTCCGGGGGAGGACGCCTTTGCGACTCTGAATGAATTCAGATTAACTCAGAATCTTCTATTTGATCAAGAAATTGAAAAACATTGTCAATAAATTATGTAAATATCAGTGTTTCAGAGCCTTGGCAAATCAGACCGCGTGTGGCTTAAAGATAGAAAAGGACACCAAATTTCCCTCGAAACCTGCTTTCGGAGGATCCTTTGCAACAAAGAATATCTTCTATTTGTTTTTTGTACACATATCCATTTTGCATCTTCTATTTACTTTAATTGTTGAATATCTTCTATAACTGTGGCAACCCATTTTTCAGGTTCGATGTTGAATTCAGGAGGTGTACCTCCAGAAACATACGAGAAGAATGTTTTTGGTATGTCAGGGAGTCATTCTCTTCAGCAATTTTTGCGTCAGGAGACTGTGGAGGCACAGGACCCCAAGTACATTTCGGGTGCATGCACCGCTGACTTGAGGACATCCAAAAGGTGAACAGAGTTCGAGAGCCACCTGGGAATGGCCTTACACTACACTCCACTACACTACAACTACACAACTACACTCCACTACACTCCACTACACTGTACTACACTACACTATACTTCACTACAGTACATTACACTACACTACGTTGCACTACACTACACTACATTACACTACACTACATTCCACTACACTACACTACATTCCACTACACTACACTAACTACAACTACAACTACAACTACAACTACAACTACAATACTACATTTACACTACGCTACACTACACTACACTAATTACACTACACTACACTAGACTCCTCTACACTACACTACACTGAATGACACTGCACCACAGGTAGACAGGTGACAGATAGACAGACAGACAGACAGATAGATAGATAGATAGGTAGACAGATAGACAGGTAGACAGATAGACAGATAGATAGATACACAGATAGACAGATAGACAGGTAGACAGCTAGACAGATAGATAGATAGATAGATAGCTAGCTAGCTAGGTAGGTAGGTAGGTAGGTAGTAGGATTGGATTAGATTAGATTAGATTAGACTTAGGTTAGATTAGATAGATAGATAGATAGGTAGGTAGATAGATAGAGAGAGAGAGATAGATAGATAGATAGAGAGATAGATGGATAGATCGATAGATAGATAGATAGATAGACAGATAGACAGATAGACAGATAGACAGATAGACAGATCAGAGAGAGAGAGAGAGAGATAGACATAGAAGATAGATAGGTAGGTAGGTAGATGGTCAGAGAAAGAGAGTGAAAGAGAGGAGACCTCAAGCACCTTTCGGTCCATCAGTGGATTCGCTGTGCCATCCGTGATTCACAACAACAAATCTCTCCTATAGGTTTCCTATTTTTGAAACTTCGGCCACCGCCTTGTGCGGTACTACTGGTATACCATTCATATACCATTAATATCCCATCCATATCCCATTCATGTCCCGTTCATATCCCATGCATATACCATTGATATCCCATTCATATACCATTAATCTACCATTAATATCCCATTCATATCCCATGCATATACCATTGATATCCCATTCATATCCCATTTATATCCCATTCATATCCCATTCATATCCCATTCATATCCCATTCATATCCCATTCATATGCCATTCATATGCCATTAATATCCCATTCATATACCATTCAGATCCCATTCATATACCATGAATATCCCATTCATATCCCATTCATATCCCATTTATATCCCATTAGTATCCCATTAATATCCCATTAATCTACCATTAATATCCCATTCATATCCCATGCATATACCATTGATATCCCATTCATATCCCATTTATATCCCATTCATATCCCATTCATATCCCATTCATATCCCATTCATATCCCATTCATATGCCATTCATATGCCATTAATATCCCATTCATATACCATTCAGATCCCATTCATATACCATGAATATGCCATTCATATGCCCCATTAATATCCCATTCATATACCATTCATCCCATTCATATCCCATTGATATACCATTCATATCCCATTCATATCCCATTCATATCCCATTCATATCCCATTCATATCCCATTGATATCCCATTCATATCCCATTCATATCCCATTCATATACCATTGATATCCCATTCATATCCCATTGATATACCATTCATATCCCATTCATATCCCATTCATATCCCATTCATATATCCCATTCATATGCCATTCATATGCCATTAATATCCCATTCATACACCATTCATATCCCATTCATATACCATGAATATCCCATTCATATCCCATTTATATCCCATTCAGATCCCATTCATATCCCATTAATATCCCATTCATATCCCATTCATATCCCATTCATATCCCATTCATATACCATTGATATCCCATTCATATCCCATTCATATACCATTCATAACCCATTCATATCCCATTCATATCCCATTATATCCCATTTATATCCCATTCATATGCCATTCATATGCCATTAATATCCCATTCATATACCATTCATATCCCATTCATATACCATGAATATCCCATTCATATACCATTCATATCCCGTTCATATACCATTAATATTTCATTAGTATACCATTCATTTACCATTCATATACCATTTATATCCCATTGATACCCCATTCATATCCCATTCATCTCCCATTAATATCCCGTTCATTTCCCATTCATTTACCATTGATATCCCATTCATATACCATTAATCTACCATTAATATCCCATTCATATCCCATTTATATCCCATTCATATACCATTAATCTACCATTAATATCCCATCAGTTTACCATTCATATACCATTCATATACCATTACTATCCCATTCATATCCCATTGATATCCCATTGATATCCCATTAGTATACCAGTATACCATTCATATCCCATTAATATCCCATTCATATCCCATTCATATACCATTGATATCCCATTCATATACCATTAATCTACCATTAATATCCCTTTCATATCCCATTTATATCCACTTCATATCCCATTCATATCCCATTTATATCCCATTCAGATCCCATTCATATACCATTAATATCCCATTCATATCCCATTCATATCCCATTCATATCCCATTCATATCCCATTCATATACCATTCATATCCCATTAATATCCCATTCATATCCCATTGATATCCCATTCATATCCCATTTATATCCCATTAGTATCCCATTTATATCCCATTAGTATACCATGAAAAATGCGCAACCACTTTCCATCCACTTTCCGCCAGGTGATTCTGGGCGGTATCGTTGGCGCCACGCTGCTGTCCATCGCCATTGCCTCGCAGGTGGTCTCCACCGATCGACGGGACGAACCTCGGCGGCAAATGGGAAGATCTTCAACGAAAATGGTGGAAAAATAGGTCTAAATGATGTTAAATGATGTTAAAACTATGGTGTTAAATGATATTAAATGACTTGTTGTGTCTATCTTTTTTGTGGGCTGGTGTTTGTTTCTTTTGGTTGTGTTTTCATGGAATTTACCCATGAATTCTTGCATTTAAGCCATTTTACTGGGCTTTGTTAGTAGTCTAAAACATTTCCATATTTTTGGGAGTTGCTATAATGGTGTCTTAATGGAGTTTGCCCATGATTCCCTTTTTTGTGTTCAACCAAAAATATTGGGATATTTCATGATATAACTGACAAATTGTGACACATGATGGGCGATTGACTATGGGAGTTATACTCCCAAGGTTATTGGTGATTATTTGTTTTATTTATATTTTAAATATCAACTATCAACCCACTAGATGAGAAATAAAGATGTCTAAAGACGGCTCAGGTGAATGAATGGTGAAAGATGGGACATCGGAAATTGGGGCCATCCTTTTCACCGAGCATTCAACCAAGCATCATATAAGTGGAGATTATACTTAATTATAACAACGAAGGTGGTACCACAGTTTGTTAGCCAAGTTGAATTTAGAACTAGGCTATGAGTTTGCTTGGTGGTAGATACATCTATAGTTGAGAGGGACACATTTTTACAACCTATAACGGGCGCGGGGGGCACACAATCATTGCCGGTGAATGGATTGTAGTCGATGTTTGTTGAAACTATAGGTGGAGAACAGTTTCTCGGGGTTTCATGAAGGTTACATGTCCAAAGAGGGGGCCATAGAGTTGGTTCACTGGTGACCGTGTAAAGTGGGATTTAACTGAAAAAAATTGCCAGCTGAGCCATGAACAAAATACATCAAAATACCCTGATTGTTGGTCAATATAAGGACCATTATACTACCTAATTTGTTGGGCATTCTGGAAACCCAAAGTAGGGCAACCCATCAACCAACTAGTGTTTCATGAGATGGGGCAGGGGTATTTTTAATGGTGCAGTTGAGTGTTGGGGACAATTTGCCAGATACCACCACCAGAGCTTTGTTTTAACAAATAGTTTTGTTAGTTCATAGATGGTCTAAGTAATGGGTTGTAAAAGGGTTGTTTTCTTTTTGGGTTTTCTTTAAATATTGAAGCTATAGGCGGATATTGAAGCTAGTTGATTTCATGACCCAGGAGCCCATAGCCAAAGAGTACCAAGATAACAAGCCCTGCAGACTTTATTGCAACATAAATTGATAGTTCGACCAAACAAATGCGAGGAAGTCTCATGTTTCATGTGAAAAATGGATGATTTACCTGTTGGGCGAGCTCATGGCTGACTAGCCAACATTTATGGTGGTGAAAATGATGGTGGACATGAATATTTCATGAGTTCAATTGATTCCATTAAAATCCACTTGTGTTCACCAATGTCATAACAAACTCAATGGCCCATCTAAGTAAAGATATATCTCATCATAGGGTACGTCACTTGTATGACCTACAGACCAAACAAGGCCATACCATACCGTCTCATGCCATACCATGCCATACCATGCCATACCGTAGATACATGCGTCCATTCATACATAATTATACATAGACGCATACATACATGCATCAATAATACATAACTGGTCTATTCTCTGATTATAGATAATAACAACAACAATACTACTAATATAACACTAATGCTAGCAGGACTAGCAGTTCTTTACGAACGATACTTGGGATATGTTTATTCACACTAGAAATGATCATGTCCTGACAATACCCATAGTTGTTATAACATCTTCTCAAATAGATGGGATAATCTCCCACATAAGACTGGTAATCATCTCAAGTTCTGGCCCACTTCCAAGACGAGCAGTGCGTCATCCTCCAATTTCTGGTTGGTTTTCAGAAACGGATTTCCTAGTATGAAGTAATAAACAATGTGATTCCCCATATTCTTATACACAATGGTAAACTCCGTACATGGTTATTACACTCAATTCGTGGTCTACTTCTCAATTTTGTTCATGGATGATATACCCCGCCCTTCTGACAGGCATTAGAATGCCAACAGGCTTTGGAACACTCCTCAGTTATGTGTGTTAGTGTATAAACAATATCTTTGACCTAGTTAGTTCAACCAACTTAGCCACCAAACTGGGGGCATGACTTTGTTGTTGGTAGGTCCCCCAAGTGGAGTTATCCCATATAAAAGTGGTTTTTGGTCACTAAGTAGGTACTGTACAAGTACTTACGGTCCATGGGATGATCCTCCAAACCTGCTTGTTCTCTGGATAGATAAGTTGATAAACTGAAACAACTATAGTCAGATGGATTTGATCAACCAAACTTCAAACTACGTGGTTAGTAAGTAATCCCTTCCCCTATTAAAAAAGATGCTCCCCAAGCAAAGCCTGGTGGCTTAGATGCGTTAAGACGTGCGTTTTGTTGGCATCACCTTGCCCTTTCCACTGTTATAAATTATAAATAGATATAAATAGCCCTTAACATCTATAACTAGCTTATAACCTCATTTAAGTGATACATAACCAACCAGTTGCAGGAGTTATTTCCCACTTAAGGCCCACCAATTGGGGGGCCAGACTGACCTGGAACCGTCCCAGGAGTACTTGCGTTCCCTAGAGGTTGAAGGTGACGGTGCACTGCCCGATGGCTTGGAGCCAGGGAAGAAGCTGCCGCCAGTGGTGGCGCAGGGGAAATTCCTGCGTGGCCAGGCGGGGAAGAGCCGGGTGGAACGGCGATGCCCTGGGGAATTCATGAAAGTAAATTTCTGGGGATTCAACTGATTCAACTGAGATCAATATTATATAGTTATATAATGTTATATACATATAAACATATATATACATATATATATACATATATATACATATATACAGACATATATATATATATACATATATATAGATATACATATATATATATATACATATATATATACATATATATATATACATTGTAATACATATATATATATATACATATTATATCATGGGATTCAATTAAGCAACGATACCGGTGATCTAATGAGATATTGATATAATTGATATAACCGACAACTTTGAACCTCCTGAATGTAAAACGGATCCCCAAACACTTAGTCAAAACGATTATGTGTCCTATTGGATATGGTAATTGTTGTGTGCCATGTCAAGTTTCGGAGGTGTAGGGAGATTAAACCAGCCATGACACTACAAGATGGGACCCCTTGCATTGCTAAGTTGGCTTATAACTTGCTTAACGTTTGGGTTTATGGAGGATATAAGTACAGTGAATGGGGTGTTTTTTCATCAACTATGTTGATGGTGAGTTGGACGAAGGGATGATAGGAGTTGATCAACAGGAAACCAACCGTCGTGGCATCTTTGTTGCAATTCCAGGTTCTCCGGGTTAACGTTGGAGGTCCCAAAGCGGGCCAATACTTTCGGAGCAATATTGGCAATACCCATATTGTTTTTTTGTAACCCATTTTACAAGTGTGTGTTTTCTTGGTTATCTAGAGAATCCCGTTTTCTATTTGCCATCAGGCACCATTTGGTTCTGTACAGACTTGTGCATATGGTTTTCCGCTACAACCTGAAACATGAACGAGATCAGTCCAGTCAAACGTCCCTTAAACCACGGGGATCTAGCCGAGATCAGGAGTACATTCGATCAGCTGAAGTGGCTTTGAATTCCAGATGTCAGGTGGGGGGAGAAACGGGCCGACGGGTGCAGTGGATGTAAAACAAAAGTGGATATGGAGGTGTCCTAAGATGGAGGTAGCCCTACATTATCCATTTTAATCAGATTTTCCATGAAATCAACCATCCATTTTTGGGTACCCAAAAATTTATGGGAACCCCCCTTAGATGTTTCACCATTATAGTGCTTAATGACATTCCAACTTCTGGAAGTGAACAGGGTTCTCCCCCAAATCACCTGTGGCCTGCAGGGGGGAGGAACCCACAGTGGCCGGTTTCGGGATGGACATGGATGGACAGTCGTGTCAGACGTAACCCTGAGGAAATGCAAAGCGCAAGGTTATTTTACCACTCATATCTGGTTGGTGGTTTGGAACATTTTTTATTTTCCAGTTTCCCATATATTGGGAATAATCATCCCAACTGACTAATATTTTTCAGAGGGGTAGGTATACCACCAACCAGATATACTTCTTCTTGGTTTTCAACTAATGCCGTCCCCTGAGGGCAAACAGTTCTGCAGTTATGGCGGTACAAATAGGATTATTTCATGATATATCACCTCAGTTATAGGAGTTACTTCATCCCATTTCATGTACCGTAGGTAAAACAATGCCATAAACCATCCCTCAGTCATCACCATTTTGATGGGTAGTATGGTTACCATTCCGAGTCATGGGTGGTAAAAATGGCATTGTTTTACCCACATTATAGCTGTTAAGGCTTATAATGGGATTATTTCATGATATATAACCAACCAGTTGGAGTTATTTCATCATGTTCATCCCATTTCTAGCTGTTACTTGGGCCATAACCATGGGCTTTCGAAGGTCCCCTTCGCTCGCGACGCGTCGCGTCGCCTGAGCGCTCACCGAGGTGCTGTTGCTGGGCGATCTGCTGCCGGGCGGCGAGCGCATGCTGGGCATGGGCTCGCCGGAACGTGCGCTGGCGCTCACCAAGCTGCTGACGCTTGGTTCTTCCAAAAAAAATGGAGCATCCCGTCCGAGGAAGGATCTTTTGATGGGAATTGATGGGAATTTCGGAATTTCTATGAGAATTTCTATGGAGGTTGGGATGATCCTAGGTGAATGCGAGGTTTAATTGGATATGAATGGGATATTTAGCAAGTGCTTCATGTTTGCGGGGCTATAATAAGCCACTTACAAATGGGATAACCTACTTAGGGAACTTCGAATTTCCAGGCTAGGGTGTGGGGCCCCATTGGTTGCAGGGTGGGGCCCCATACTTTGCTAAGTTGGTTTATAACTACAATAACAATAGTTGGTTTATAACTACAACAACTACAATAACTACAATAACTACAATAGCAATAGTTGGTTTATAACTACAGTTGGTTTATAGCTACAATAACAATAGTGTATGATACTTATAGCTATATTTAGATGAGGGTCCCATCCTGTAGTGGATAAAGTCACCATCGTCACAAGAAATGGATGACTGAGAAATGCTGGTTCCAGGACATCACAATTAAAAGAGCCCCCCGTCGTGGTCCTACGGTGATATGAAGCACCAGTAAAATAAATCGAGATATTTTTCCATAGTTAAAACGGGGTTAAAATAGGGGCCCTCCAAGAATGACAAATTCAATGGGGCAAAATGATGACGAACTATGAAATCTGTAATCTGTTGTTTTCCTCATTGTGTAACCCAAACCAACTTGTTTTGATGGGTAAACACAATGCCATAAATCACTCCAGCAACCAACCAATTATAAAATAGTGGATGGTTTGTTGTTATTGAGATATTAATAATTATTAATTATAGATGCAGTAATTAATCATCTATAGTTAATTGAGATTTCACGGGCAAAGCACATCTTTTTATAACTGCTCTGAGGACCTCAGTGGATACTGATGTCATGTCAAGCCTGAGCGGTCAAAGCCTGTTGTTGTGGGATGATCTGAAGTCAAGTGACCCTGCGGTAATCAAACATGGCGTGCTGGAAAATACAAGAGTTACTATAGATTTATATAGTTCGGTGATTTATATAATCCTATTGAAACCCCCATTTCGTTCGCGGATTTCCCAGCTTGCCACTGATTTGGAGTGACCGGAGGGTGTGTGGTTTCACCTAGGGGCACGGTGCTTGCTGCATCCTCTGGTGACAGAAGATTGTTCCGTGGCGGCAGGGGGGGTTCTTTATAGCTATAGGCTATATGCTTTATACCTTGGTTGCAGGAGCTATTCCATTCGATTAAGCGTTAAAGGATGTTAAAGGCCATAACTGTGAATACCAAAATAGATAATTAACCAACATTGGTAAATGTTCCAAGCAACGGATGATTTCAATGGGGAATTTTGAGAATCAACTCTGGGAACGCCAAAGCAAACCTCAGGGTTTCTCGGGAGCTGGTACATGACCCATCTTGGGGTTGCAGGACCTGCAAATTTGGCTAAGGACCCTTGGTGTCAGTACATGCCACGCTTGAATTTCCCTATATCCTTTCAAAAGTGAACGAACATGGATGCAAAACCCCTAGGATGCGGATAAAGAACATAAGAATGGCGATTTAATTTGATGACTTCCCGTCATCATGTTGATGTCTAAATATATGTAACAATCCACAGTTCATTTAACGCTGATATCAAACAGTACTTCCACCACCGAGTCACAGTACTACAATAGGTGCACGTAGTAATACTTGCACGGTCCCAGATGTTTAACTATCCTTTGATATTAAATACCCCGTTGGACCCCAATTTAGTTTAGTTTAGTATCCCCCCAGTGATGTTTTATAAACCATTATATATAAACCCCATGGAATACTTAATATGTAGTTATATCTACCATAAACCATCGAATTAAGCCACTTTTTTCAGGCGTTTCTGAACGCGAGCTTGACTGGGGGCCCCATCCTGGATGTATTTCATAGGGTGATGGAATTCCGATTCGAGGTACAAATCCGTGACGGCAGTGATCAGCCAAAACGAGCCTCGGCGCCTGTTGGACTTCCTGCTGCAACATGTATCCAAATGAAACGGAAACATGGCAATGGAAAACAACTTATCATGGGAAAATCATGCAACGAAAAACAGACATCGCCATGTTCTCACGCGTTTTTGCTTAATGATGTTCCATTGTAATTCTCCCAATAAATGATTTAACGATCCTCCAAGAACGATCCATAAGATTATTAACGAATCCTCAATTGTTGGTTAGATCACCAAGAGGTAAGAACTATGGGTTTCATCCTATCCAGTTGCACCTAGCCGCCCAGAGATGGGCCGACATCCCCAATTCCGTTGATCAGAGATTTCCATGTTTTCCATACTGTGTTTCTCCCAGTGGAGGGGAAATCTGCAAACCTTAACCTGATATGAATCTAAACAAACTCAGTGTTTCCAGATGTCCAATCCATTGATTTTTCCCATGAAAATCGCCAGAACCTGTCAGTCCTGGTCCCCTGAAGGTGTCGCCGCCACCAAGGACTTGAACCTCGTGGCCAACAACTTACGGCGCCTCGAGGACAACGGTGCTGATATCCGCGAGCCCAGATCACCGTATCTCATGCCACACGGCGATGGCAAGGTGGATGGTGGAGCCTAAGGTCGAACGCCAGGTGGATGGAGAATTCACTCAACTGTTGGGTTTATGGTAGATAATCATGATATATGTAGACAATTGTAGATATTAATCATGATGTATAGTATTCTATGGTTTGTAAATGTTTAGAAACCAACACACATTTCACTGTAAAAACACCAACAGGGGGATCCCCAAGTCATCATGGCTTTCAATACGAAGCCATGGTGATCCAGTCATCCATGACTGGGATGACTTTGTCTACAAAAAGGTGGTGTCTCCCAGTGAAATGTGCGTGACTTCATAAGCTCATTCAAAGTTATAGATATCCTACGTACCCAACAGTTCACCATAGTTCACCAACTTTTCAACCTGTCTACAGTAATTCTTTTCAGCTTAACTACTTATCAACCTACCGTGGATGGTTGCGAAATCCGAAAAAAGAAAAGACGAAAGGATGGTTGAAACCCATCCAAAATAATGGGATTAGATAGAACCACATATCGACTGGTGCAGGATCAACCATCAACCACCGAAAGGATGGTACCCATCCAAAATCAGATGTTTACCACAGATCAGGATTTCGCAACCATCCACAGCATGAAACCAACGAACTTTGCCGCCCTCAGGTTCGGTGGTGGGGCAGTGCTGCGTTTCCAGAAGGACGAACCGGAGCAGGTGCGTTTTCGCGTTTTCGATCGAGGTGATGTGTTGATCCGTAACCTTAGTATCTGATGATCATTAGCTATAAAAAACAAAATGTCTCTCTTCAGTATTGTTTTATTATTTTCATTATCATCATCATTATCATGATCATTATATCTATTGTTGTTATATAATTATAGATATTTATAGTTAACTATTAAGATGGGAGATCGGATATGTTCTTACTTATTACTAATTGCTATCTGATGTATGGGATTCTTATTCCTGATATGGTATACTAAATAATCAACACATATGAATGATACAAATTCCAGCACCCGAAATCCAAACTATCTAGGGTAGTTAGGAGTTGGTGCGCCTAAGATGCGAATAGACTATGTGGGGCCGCAGTTATGGATTATAAACTCCATGAATACTTCAGTTTCAGAAGTATCATAAACAGTACTGAAGTTGGACTTATGTTCACCTATGTTGCGATTTCGTTTGCAGGGCCCCTCTCTGTAAGTATGCGTTGCAAATTATTCATGCAAGTTGCTTGGCTCCGACAGTTTGTTCTCAGATTCTTCGCCGTCTGCCCTTGAGAGAACCGTCACTGCCATGCCTGCGCCGCAATCGGACGCTGCAACTGCTGCTTGGGTGGAACGATGAACAATGTAAAAAAATATTCTCTGGAAATCTCTAGAGGGATACAGGCTTTACCCTCCAAAAATCAGTTGCACGGCAACTGAAAAACAAAGATTTAGTTCGATGATTTTACCAGCTGTAAACCTCCATTTAGTTCGAGGGTTTCCCAGCTAGCCATGTTTAATTACCAAAGGACATGTTGTTCTTATGATCTTTGAAGTCATACTGGCAAAAAGGGATCAACAAAAAATGCAGACCCCAGCAACTGGATTGCTGGAAGCTAGAGCAAGAAACTCCTGGAAAGTGAGTTTGGCTTCAATCTTCTATCCTATCTTGGCATGATATCATATACAATTATACCTAATAATGATAATAATTAATCATACATAATATATATATATATGCATATTATTGGCATCATACCAAATACTGTTCATATGTATTTGTACTTTTGATTTCAATCTTCCATCCTTATCGATCCAATTTGCCTGTCTTGTTCCACCACTGCAGATGGTTGAATGGAACAGGCCCCCAAACCAAGACAGTGCAGATATCATCAGCATGTTGGATGGTGAAATCACCATGTCTGGATGCTGAAATCACAATTCTTGCTGGTGATGTCACCACAAATCACCATAAATCACCACAAAAACCACCATAAATCACCACAAATCACCATAAAAACACCATAAATCACCACAAATCACCATAAAAACATCATAAAACACCATAAATCACCATAAATCACCATAAATCACCACAAAAATCACCATAAATCACCATAAATCCCCCAGTTTTTTGATTTCACACCCTTTTTCGCTCCGGTGAAGCCCAGGACATCTCCAAGGTGGCGCCCGAGGAGACGGTGCTGGTGCAGCGGGTGGCCGAGTATCTGCCCGAGAAGCGGATCCCGAAGACGGGGAATCAAAAGGCGCGCGGCCCGGCTCCGGAGCACCTGGGGTAGAAATGGTGGGTAATATACCCTCTGGTTATTTAACATAGCCATGGAAAATGGCCCATGTATAGATGATTTTCCCATTAAAACCTCCATTTATGAGGGATTTTCCATGGCTATGTTAAATAACCAGATGGTTAAAAAAAACCCGGTGAGACCTGCAAATGTTGGTTATACATGGTTATGTATGGCCTCCGACTTTGGGAAAAATCACAGTTCGAAGCCTGAAGATATCTGAAAATCATGAAATCTCATGATTTTTTGAGTGGAAATCCAGTGGAAACTCATCTTCCAACCCCTATCTGGTAGGTCTATTGTATGTGAAATTATGGAGGTATGTATTAATATATATATATGTGTGTGTGTGTTTTTAGATATACCATTAACATCCCACGTTATATCACCATTTATGGCTCATTTCATCATCTATACCATTATAAAGCCTATTACGTGTGTATATATATATACTTGGTGGCTCATCCCACTTAGAATTTTGTTTACCCTAGTTATAGGTGTATGAACCCTACTTATCCCACTTATAACTGGCTATAACTGGGGTTAGAATCCACTGACTAATTGGGATGAACCACCAAGTAGCTATTATTCCCAAACCTTCCAGTTGCCTTTGAGATTGGCAACCAAGGTGATGAAAACCCTGATGATTTTGAGGGCGGTTACCTTTCTGATGGGTAACTGGAAGGTTAGGGAGTAGCGTGACTATGATTATAAATGGGTTGTCACTGGAGGAGCTATGAACCATCCCCCGATCCATAGATCTCACAATCCCGCGGTGAATGGTCCCAGTCTGTGATATCATCCCCTACATGTTACTTTGGTGGCTCTGGGGGGTATTTGATATGAACGGGGGAAGGGATTATTGTTTTCTAGTGGGTTAACAATGATTTAGTAGCTGCTGGTTGGTGGTGACTGGAACAGTTGGATTATGTTTCCATTCAGTTGGGAATTTCATCATCCCGACTGCCGAACTCATATTTTTCAGAAGGATAGGTATACCACCAACCAGACTGTTAATGATGGTTCTTAGCGGTAATAAAATTGCTATAAGAGTTGGGGCAGAACGGTCAACTCCTAGAAATGGCGCTAAGTTGTTGGAATTCAACAGGTGACCCAGGCGCGCTTGCAGGATTTACCAACAACAAGTTTGATGTATGTTAATGTATGTGTGGTTTATGTTAGCTGTTAGCTGATTGTGTTGAAGTACCTAGCTTGGCGATGTCTTATGGGTAGCAAATCACTATAATCTAATATAGTGATAGACTAATAAACATTGATAATATTAGTTAAACGCGGACATAATGTATAATCTAATTTGATACTAGTGATAGACTCGTTAAGAAGCGTTTAATGAATGTTCTTGGTAGCAATATTGATTTATTGAGCCTAATAAACCAACAAACACAACGTTTTGGATCACCACCTTGCAGTGAAACCCTGCGGCAATTGGATGGTCAGCTCTGTGTTCTTTCGTTTCACAACGTGACGTGAGGCCCCCAGCAGTTATAACTAGCTTTATAAAGGCTTTATAAACATCCTTAAAACTAAAAAAAACTTAACTATAGTTCTATTCCCCATAAACCATAGATAACCATAGTTAGCCTAGTAAAATCTGCGTCAACTTCGCCGTTTAGGACCCTCACATTGTCAGGAGAAAAGGTAGCTTGAGGAGTGGACAAGTGATATCCTCATGCTGAACATAGACTGATTACACATGTTATTATATCATATCTATACAATATGGATATATCGCATCTATACTTTTTTGTTACATCAACACACACGCACACACACACACATGGCGGTTTTATAGTTACTCACACACACATGACATAGATCCCTATATCATCCTACATCATGATATGAAGGCCCGTCTTTTTTCTCCAATGTCATAATCTTGTTGCGAATCAACGGCCCCATGTCCACAGGCACCAGACAGTTTCCGGGCCATCTTGATGTCTGCCTCCACCGGGAAATTCTTGGCCTTGGCGGACAACCTCATCACCAGTGACAAGGGCGTGACCAGTGGCGCAAAGGACCCGACCCAACGATAACTACCGGGTAGCCTCCAGTAAACTAACAGTTTGCGAACTTGAAAATGAAGCATTTCGTGCGATGATTTACCAACATAGCAATTTTCCATAGCTATGTTACCAGAGGGATCTGGTTTTGTTGTGGTCATCAAGTCATCACGACAACCTGCTTTTTGGACATAGTTCTAGTGCTCGGCTTGGTAGGTAACCTTCAAACGGATGGCAAAAATCCTTTGACATACATGAAAGGATATGTGTTTGTGATCCTTTCGGGCCATTTGGCAAACTTGAAACCCCAATTTTGAATGGGGAAAATGGAGCAACATGGTTTCATCAACATATCTTGTAATATGATTTCATCACATACATATGAATTATGCATGCAGAGCAACAATTCGTGTAAACATATATGTTTTCCCGGGTGTACTAGAGAACTCGCTTATAGGAGAATCTGGTGAATGAATGCACCAACACCGGCCTGATCAGCGCGCTGATGCTGACCATTGTTCTGCCAATGAGCTACGAGAGCGTAACTGATTGGTTGGAAGAAGACTACGTGAGCAGCGGCTATGCCTTTATGGATGCTGTGGTGAGTCTGGTTCCCTTTTTTCGATGTTGTTTCGTCCAACTATCCCAAATACTTGCCACTTTCAGATTAGAATAATCCCCATCCCAACTGCACATGGCATTAAAAATAAGCTTCAGTGGTATCCCAAACAGCCGCAACGTTTTATTTTTACAAATATTTCTGAAGCGTGCTGCTGCTGCGAAGCCAAGCGCTGAAACACCTCAGCCTGCTCCAAAGCCTCCCAGACCTTCTCGCTCTGCACCAAAGCCTCCCCGACCTTCTCCGGAACCTTCTCCGGAACCTTCTCCGGAACCTTCTCCAGAACCCTGTTGAAGCTGACTTGGCTTTGCACCAAGGCTTCCTGGAACCTTCTCCGGAACCTCCTCCGCAACCTTGAACCTGACCTGGCTCTGCAACAAAGCCTCCCAGACCTTCGCCGGAACCTTCGCCGGAACCTTCTCCGCAACCTTCTCCGGAGTTGAACCTGACTTGGCTTTGCACCAAGGCTTCCTGGAACCTCCTCCGGGAACCTTCTCCGGAACCCTGTTGAACCTGACCTGGCTCTGCACCAAAGCCTCCCAGCTTCTCCGGAACCTTCTCCGGAACCTTCTCCGGAACCTTCTCCGGAACCCTGTTGAACCTGACCTGTCTCTCACACCTTCTCAGAAACCTTCGGAACCTTCTCCGGAACCTCGTTCAACCTGACCCGGCGCCTGCACCAGTGCACACCGGAGCTATTCTGGGCTGAAGACCCCATTGGCCTACGCTGTTGGGGAAAAATCCCTTTGTATGCACGTTTAAGTGCTGGTTGGTGGTT